GATGGGGGCAGCATCGCGGCGCGGAGGCGCGGGGGCCTCCGGTCCTTTGTCAGTTCGCATTGTTCCTGTCACCCAGGAAGGGCCGCTGGAGAGGGCCTCCCGGTCTCCAGTCGCTCCCAGCGAGCAGGTGCTGGCGCTGCCGAGCGGATTAGATGAGGTTTGAGCGAATTCAGTCTGATGGCCGCATTGTCTAAAACACTTCCCAGCTCTTTAAAAAAGTGTAGGGACTTTCCCTTTAATAAAGCTCTTCTTGGGATGATTGCTTTCTGGGATTACTTCCAGGCTTCACATTTCTGGTAAGTTAACAAAGTTCCACTGTGATTTCTAATAGATTTGAGCCATTTGGTAGTGGCTTATCAATAACTAGACCTAACTTTTTAAAAAAAACTTTATTGTCGGAAGGATTATATATGTCCCCTTTTTTGTCCCCGCCCCGCCCCAGGCCCCCACCACCCCACGATCGGTGTCCATGGGTTATGCATGTATGCATCCAAGGTCTTTGGTTGTCCCCCCCCCTTCCCTCCGAGGTAGACCTAACATTGAATCGGATCATGTCTCCCTTTGCAACTAGGTGGGTTGGATAGTGACAGAGTTTGTGAGAAAACAAAGATTTGGAAGAAAATTCATTCCTCTGAGGTTGCTAAACCAGCTCATTAAAGACACACACTAAACTGACTCACTGGAGATTTGCTGTGTTAAGAAGACACAAAAGAATTTTATGATTGGATTTGCAAGCCTGACTCTTAGCTACAGTTTTAACTAAATTACATTTAATGGTTACAGTGGCTTTCCTTTTTGGTCCTCGAGTACTTCATAAACATTTAATCAATTCTTACAACCTTAGAATGTCAGTTAAGCTTTTCTTGTTCACCATATGGGGATGTGCCCAAAACTCTACTAAGCCAGTGGCAGAACAGGATTGATGAGTGGGAGTCCCTGGTTCCTGGGTTCTCCAGTGAGTGAATTATTAATAGTAAATTTATCAATGGATACTAGTCTTTTCAGGGTTGTAAATTTATAAGTTTCTTCAATGTGTTTTGAAGAGTAAAAAGTTTCAGTATTCACTTTCATAGCCATCCATCTTTTGGTTAATTTTTTTTGCTTCTGTTTTTTATACTTTCTATAAATGTTTTAAACGTTTTCTGTACTTGGCATTGAAATGTGGGCAAATGATTCTGGAGGAATTTTTATAGCTTCTTGGACATTCTTTGTATAGTAAAATAAGGCACAGTTCACACTTTGAACTTGAAAAAGACTTCAGTAATCACAAGTAGAGGAAGAATCCGTTAATCCAGCTCAAAACAGCCTGTGATTATAGCTATTTATCAATAGTAATCCAAAATGGAGTATTTTCTAAAAAATTTAAAATATATTACCTTTCCTAAATTCTGAATGAAATCAGTAATGCCATTTTGGTAATGTGAATTGTCACAGACAACTTTATTTTAAAAAATTCAGACTCTATGTGGCTTTTGTACATGTGTATGTATACATGTATATGTGACTTTAAATTTGAGTAATAATTTAGGGGGGATTTAAAGCAATTTAGTTGTAAAATCTTTGCATTTTAAAAAAGAAATGAAAATGTAGGTAAGTAAACTTCGACTTGATCTAGTGGGTTCTATATTTAATATTATCCCAGTATATCTATAATGATAACATTGACCATTGGAAAAATTCTACTTGTATTATTTTTGTTTCCCTAATAAACTAACCTTAAAAATGTGTAATAGGAGAGTAATGTACTTGGGGATTGTCATTCTGTGGTTCCTATGGCATTCACATTGCATCTGTGGAGTTAAAGTGTACAGTTACTGATAAAAGGTAAGGGTGAAATCACATTTGCTTCAGTTAATAGCTAGTTTATTTATGTATTCTTAAAAAATATTTTTATTGATTTCAGAGAGGAAGAGAGAGGGAGAGATAGAAACTTCAATGATGAGAAGGAATCATTGATTGGCTACCTCCTGCACACCCCCTACTGGGGATATAGCCTGCAACCCAGGCATGTGCCCTTGACTGGAGTCTAACCCGGGAGCCTTCAGTCCCCAGGCCGATGCTCTATCCACTGAGCCAAACCAGTGAGGGCAATAGCTAGTTTAGAAAAAAAGTGCTTGTGTATATACATATGTGTATACTACATACATGTACACATATGTCTTCATTTTTATTTAACCCTTGTTATATGCTCGATCCATTGGTAGAGAGAAGTATAAATTATTCCATGCCCCCCGGAATATGTAGTTTATTTGAAATAAGTGATAGCACAGGACAGCAAGTAAATATCAGAATGATTGAGACAGTGCTCTTGGGAGTTCTGAGGAGGGTGGAATCACTTCAGTGTAGGATTTGAATTGTACTTTGAAGAAGGTATCTGTGCAGGTTTGGAAAGGAGGAAAGAACATGGGGGAACACTACGAAGATACCGAGGCAGGTACATGTAAGTAGGTCAATTTAATAAGAATGGAAGATTCACCGGGTGAATCTGGTTGGAACTAGAGTATAGATGACTATGAATGCTATCCATCATAGGGATTTGACTTAGTCAGGAGGCAGTCAGGACCTATGGAGAAGTTTCTGAGTAGGGGACTAATAATAGCGTAGCA